ACTGCTGCCTATTTTTCCAAATCTGCCTGACAAAAAAGGAGGCGGTCATCTTTTATTTGACTTCAGGTGATATCCTTCAAGTATTTCTTTGTTCAATGTTTACTTATAATTCACAAGAAAGGAATATACGAGAATGTGCTACTGTCAGATTTCCTCTTTCTGCTTTCAGACTGGAATCACCAACTCGGTCTTTGAGCATGGATGCACCAAGAGGAATTAATATCAAAGCACAAGCTGGGAATATTGAAGCTCTTTCCCAGATGGATATCAAACTACACAGCAGTGATGGTGTGGTGAGTAAAAGCATTCCTGTTTCCATGACTACAGTGGCTCTTACCAGCTGATTAAATCTCAGAACATTATGTCTTTTTCGAAGTTCTAACTCAGTTCTTCACATTTTAGGAGACAGGATATTAAAACTAATAGTGCCAGTAGTAAGACATTTATTTTTTTAGAGGTCAGAGTAAATAACAGTATCAATCGAGTTAATGTTGCATTAGTTTAGAGAAACGTTTTAAACAAAACTCTGATACTGCTCAGCTCCCAGGTAGCACTAATCCTGAGGCACTCCAGTGGGATTCTTGCACCAGAGGTAAGAGATTCAGGCCCAGAGTTTCAGAAATATTTAGGTTTCTAGATAGAGGAGTGAAGCTCTACAGAAGTTTTTAAGAGCTTCCCAGCAGCAGCAGCACTAGAAATGCAGCAGTCTATTTACCTGCTATGGTGCACCGCAGACTGTGAGTTCTTGCACCCAGCAACTCAGGCCAGCCTGTGTGTCCATTCTTAATGCGCTGACACAGCTGCAAGGCTTTAGCAGACCTGGGCCGCACGACGGCAGCAGTGCCCGTGCCCAGCTGGCCAGCATGCGGGTGGAGCCACAGCTGCACCCATGCCATGGGAAGGGCACCCTCTCCCGCCCTCCAGCGCTTGCCTGAAGAGCCCAGGCCTTAGAGCAGGTTTGCGTATGAACAGCTTAGGCCAAAGGCGATTCTGAAGTCACCATCTAGACATAGTCAAGCTGTCCTCTGGAACAGTTTCTTCTTTATTGTATTATTATGTCTAACAAACCCCTTTGTCCTGCTTTCTCCCATGCAGCTTTTGCTTGATGCTGAAACTGTGCGATTGCCTAAATTGCCAGAGGGTACAAGAGGCGGATCTGGTATTTCTCAGGGGCTCTACGAGATCTGTGTTTGTCCGGATGGAAAGCTCTATTTGTCAGTGGCTGGCGTGGGCTCCACTTGCCAAGAATATAGCCGTGTCTGTCAATAAAGTCCCAGAAAATGCCACATATTCCCTTGCTATTCTGAGTTTTATATTACTACTAACTGAAAGCAGAAATTTAAAAAACAAAGCACTTCAGTTTAGGAAACAAATCTGTATTTAGAAACCTGGACTATAAGGTGAAAGGAGAAGCAGAAGAGCACAAGCAACAGCTTCAGAAGAATGACTTGACTCACATGAAATGTTTTGGCAGTACCGTTTTGAAATCAGCCATAGGAACAGCATAATAAAAAATAAAAGGAATATGTTTCCAACACCGAACTATTATTCGGTCAAATGATATTGTTAAAATTTTTTGAGCTCCATGTTTTTTTCTCTCACTACATGTAAACACTTACTGCATTAGTGGGTGAACGTCATTTGAAGGAATTACTTGAACTATTTGATAAGATAAAGCATTATACGGGGAATTCAGAAAGTGCCAGCAAATGGTCTATGCAATTTTGTTCTTGCAATAACACAAAATATGAAAGAAAATGTGTTTGTATGAGTTTTGTGCAAAATGTGTTAATTTTCTGATAGCTTTCTATATTAATTTGGCAACATATATGCTCATTTGCTTATTACTGAGATTCACATGAAAAACAGACTAATAGAAAAAGCTCCACAAGTTACTAACTTATACCTTCCTGTGTCTTCAAAGTTGTTAACTGTACAAAAGAGAAATATGTTAGTATATTTTATAACAGCATAGTTTATTGTACTGCCTGTACTATCACACTCATTTAATCCCTTTTATATTTTAGGACATGCTAATTCAACAAGACTATTTGCTCTGCCAGCTGGACTAGCAAAAAGAAAAGAAAAATCTTTAATGTAGCTCCAGATTGTCTGATAAAAGGAACTGTTTGGGCTGTGGGAGAAAAAAAATCCTTTTTTGTAGCCTGCAGGATTCGATTAAGAGGACTGTGTCACTTCTATCTGCAGCTGTCGACTGGTATTTCTGATCTTATCAAAGTGAGACCCCATCACAGATAGAGTAAAACTACCCTAATATTTTTTATATTAGGACTTTGAATATAGCATAAATGCTCACCAGAGTTGACAAAGCATTTCCTGACCTTGTAGAGAAACGTGACTGCAGACCCATTTCCCTGTGTAGTGTTGCACTGAAATCACAAATAAATTGTTTGCACACCTCTGGATAGCAGGATTTGTAGTTAATAGCCTGTTGTTTAAACTTCACGGGTTTTAACCCCTTTGATGCTATTTTGTATATATTTGCTGATAGTATTACCCAGTTAGGAGCTGCTGTCAGGTAGTGCCCTTTGTGTTTGTTTATAACAAAAGCTTAAACAATAATCATTATTAAAATCACAGAGCGTCCATCCTTTAGAGGAAAAAAATGTTCATTCTTAAGGCAGTAGAATCAGAACAAAGTAAAAGAATGGGCAAGACTATACCGTTTATTAAACTTGCTACTTTGGCTCTAGTAGACAATCAAAGAAACCAACACTAGGTCAAGATCCCAAGTACTCACAAGAGACTAAGTGGGGAAAGAGCTCCCAGTTAACAGTATCTGCTCTTATTGCGGTATAGCCCTGGGTTGTCCTTGCCTCAAGGACCGCCTTTGTATTTTATCCAACACTGTTAATGTACAATACTGAAATTGCCCTTCATCAGCTGCGTGGAGCCCACAGCAATTAATGCAAACCAGAAGAGCTTCAACAGGAAAGAGTAGGACACACGTGTGAGAGCTGAGCTTTTGGGTCCCTTCAGGCAAAGGAGGCAAGTGAATCAAGGTCTCTCATGTTACTTGAAGAGTGCTCTAATTGCTAACACATTGCCTATAGGTTATCCACATCTTCCATTTCTGAAATTCCCTCTTCCAGGGCTTACACATCTACCTTCAGGAGTGAGTCCGGGGCTGTTAGCCCAAAAGTGAGCAGTATCTCTCTACTATTCAGTAATGCAAATAAGCCTTCAGCTGAGACAGGCTTTAACAGAAACCTCTCTTCAGCATTTCTTTAAGGTCAGCTTAGGTGGTTTCAATTCATGTACAATATGGTGCAGACCAAATTATGAGCAGTCATTCACTATATGGAAATCTTATACGTTATCAGAAAGGACGGCAAATTCCACTACATGTGCCAGATACCTAAGAATTATCACTACAAGCAACCTGGAGGGTTGTAACAGTCTTTCATAGGTCTAGCATAACAGCAGGACAGGAACTTCAATCCTTAGACCATTCAGCCACTAAGTAGTCTCAAAGGCATCCGAGTTATCATTATATATATTTCTGACATCAAGGATACATATCTACTCACTTTCATACAGTACGAAACTACTCATTCACCTAGTTTAATCCCTAAATTTTAGCCAGATATTGAAAATAAGTACATTAGTCACAATCTGCCTGTTCTGCTAAGCAATGGAAAGATGGAATTTGAAGCTACACATCTTAAGCTTTCACTTTGGAGGCACATTTTCAAATGTGCTTATACACTTAATATAGAGCTTGAACCCAGGTTTCTCACGTAACACAAGTGTAACCTAACCCCTAAACTATAAGGCATTTGGAAGCAACTACTGTTGAACCTTTTCCACTGAAGTTGCTCCATTTGAGGTAACATTTACGTAGCTGTAGTATTCACCTAGGAAAAACACGGTGCACTTCCCTGGCTAATAACGCTACTGAGCATTATGGCACCTCAGTAAGACATTGCAAAACTGCTGCCTTTCTAGGGCAATCATCCTTTTTGACATACCTAAGTTCACAAGTGAGTTCTGTAGCAAGACAGGATACTAAACACATTTCCTGCAATCCCACGCCAAACCACTATCCAAATCACCGATATCCTCTTCAAATCACCAAATCCTCTTGATTTTTTCAGCGCCAGTTCTCATTTTCACTACGCTACAAAACTGACACTGAACACATAGTTGCATTGCTTCAGTTGTAAAGGCAAAAACTACAGGCTTTAAAAAGCATGGGTGGCAACTTCTTTTGTCACTGAAGAATATGTTGGGGATTATTTTTAATTATGGTAAGTGGAGAAATAAAGTTATTTCTAAAATTATCACAGTGTAATCAGCTGATCTTAACATCTGAATTGTGGTTGATCTCAGTGTAGTTTAAACATCACTAAATTATCATTCACGATATCTCCATGCAGATATCTTTCCTTATGTCTTATAATGCTTGCAAATTATTGTTTCCATCTGAATTAAACAAAAATACATGGTTACAAACTAACAGGAAATTATGGCACAGGAAAATGCAAGTATGCACTTCTCTAGCTTATTTTGAAAAGTGTCATGTAAATGGAGGAAAAAAAAATACTACCTAGCATAGTGAACTGTATCATTTGCACAGATATTTTTTCCCCAAGAAAGAATAATTTACAGCAGTTCTTGTTATAGTTGGGATTATTACACAATGGAAAAATTAAGAGATCAAAATGGTAGTAAATATGGGAAGTGGCAAAACACAACACTGTTTCCATTTCACAGTCCTTTAGTATTTATATTTGTCTATCTTTATATAGCTTTATGCATAAGGAAATTGCAAGAATTACCTGAAAACTGAATTCTTGAATAAACTTTATACATTTTGAAAAGTCTGTTTCTCCTTTCATGTTCAAATGAAGCATAGCTTACATGAATGTTTGTTTTTTAAAGAAAACATCTTCCTAACACTCTTAAAAGGTAAAATGTACATTATTTTAAAACATGAATACTAAATCATGACCACGATAAAAAATTCATTTTCTAAAAGCATTTAGAATATGCTTTACAATTTGGCTTCACTGGACATCTAGAATTCATTTGTCTTCATCTGTGGTAGGTGAAAGTAAGCAAGAAAGATGTCAGTGCTACTGAATTAACCATCCAGAGATACTGCACCAAATAAAACAAACAGAGTTAGTAAAAAAAAACAAAAAACAAAAAAAACCAACTCGTCGACAAAAACCTCCAAGTGGCCTTCATCAAATGTAAATATCTACTTTGGTTTCTTCACGTTTAACTATATTTATACTATTTGCCCTTCACAAGAAGCACTTCTGCCTACGTTCCACAATAGCAGTCAAGCCACCCTCAACTGTTCAGACCCAGCAATACAAAATCCAAACGTTGGTACTACCCTTTTTACTTTGAGGATTTGCAATAGGTTTTGCTACGACCCCTTTTTAAAGCAAACCAAGTACTAACTGAATGCAAGCCATATACTAATTAAACAAATCTTAGTTTTCAAATCACCACAATAACTTTATTTTGATTCTGCTTTTCACTTTGGTCTCTTATGCAAACAGGACTGAGACATTATTTGTGTACAAATTTTGCAAGCTGTGTTTCCTTACAAAATAATGTTTCTTTTTAATAGCTGGCTGCATAAAAATCTATTTCCTCTGAAAAAGGTCACATCTTCTCACTCATAGCTGAGGCAATGAACCATAACGCTTTCTTAGAATAGGTTTTAATGGTATTGTTGAGAAGAAAATTTTGAGGCTTCCACAAATAGATAAACTGTAACAAAAGTGCCATGGCTCTACCACCACAATTCTTTAAATTCAATTACTAAATGCACCGTTCAATCAGTTTTCTGTACCAGTTGTCCTGGCTAAACCTCTCGCAACTGTAATCCTGGGAGATGGGACTGCTGAAGCTGCTTTTGAAGACACATGTTCCTGTTACATGTGGAAGATCAGTAGGGCATGTCCCTGTCTAAAAGACCCTTTGGCTTACATGAACTTTTGTAATGTGCAGAACTACTTGTCAAATATGTTAAATATATGTGCTTGTGGAACGCACATGCTAACATTCACTTCTACAGACCCCTGCTAAGAATCATCACACGCTGCTTTTCCGAGCTTCCAGGCAGAACTTAAGAACAATTTTGCTATTCTCTATTTTCCAATTTTTCCAGCTGAACCAAAAGGAAACAAATTAAGCCAACATAATGAGATTAAATTGCACTTACGAAACCAGTTTCTATCACAATACAGTTTCCTGGTCTTAAAAGGCCTTGTATTTAAGCTACCTGTTACGTTCAACTACACAATAAAAAAAAAAAAAAAAGATAAAGGATACTTCCAATTCATACAACCACTCTTGTTTGTCTTTCTGCATCCGTATGTAAATATTGTTGCAACTGATTGATGGTATTACACCAGGATTAATGAAATAATATATTAATTTTCCTTTATCTTTCAATTTTTCTTGCTCACCTTGCCCCAATATTTAAACTTAATTCAGATTATTAGCTTCCTAAGGACTGGGACCATTTTCTTTCTCACGTTAACACTTGACAACTTATACGGTATAATTAACAAAATAACTTAATAGCTCTGTGCCAGCCATTGTAATGGTTCATAATAATATTGACAAAGCAACATAAGTTGCTTACAAGACACAGTTACATGCTTAAAAGTCTTCCTCCCCCAAAATCTCACCTAAAAACTGAAGTGTTCTCCTGTTGCTCTTCAACTTGTTTCCACGCTATCCTACTCTCTGATGTTTTAGGCATTTAAACTGAAAAAATGCAGACAATGTTAATTGTTTTTCGTTGTTAGTATTTAAAACTGTGTTATTTGCCTACCCAGAATACTGTTAATCTGACTTAATCAATACACAAAAGTAGAATGAGCCACAAAGCAATCTATTTAAAAAAAAAAATCCAGGGAACAAATTGAACTAATTTATTTCATGGCATTACCAAGATTTGTGGTTTACTTACATGCAATTTATTGCAAAAATCAATAAAATGTATTTTTTTTTTTTTTTTTTTTAGAAAACTGCAAACATTTGTCATTACAAGAAAAATGCAAATTTTTTCCTTTCTAACTTTAATATTTGACAATTGCTTAGAATGAATTGAAAAAAGACTACATATTAACTTATCTAAAACAAAGCTTGAAATAACAGGTAAATTTAGTCTCGCTTATAAAACCAAAACACATCAGACCAAAGTATATGTTTGCATTTTTCTTTATTAAAATTATGGCACTTAATATTTTACAGCAGAAATAACCACATGGCTTCACAAGCAGTACAGTTTTCCTAACAGCAAATTTCTTCCCATTGCCAATAATTACTTGCAAGATTTTTCTGACAAGAACAAGCCCTTTTTAATTTGCACAAAGCAGAAGCCTTTGTCATGATTTTTTCTTTTGGATTACAACACTCACAGCCATATTAACCCTGCAAGCTCAGTGTTGTTTATTTTCCTGTACATTCTGTAAGTTAAATTACATTTTTTCTCTGTGCTATCAAGTAAACAATTGTAACAGCAACTCACTTGTTAATGATTAACATTTATGTAAAACGTGGCTGATTCAGCAAAGAAAAATCATCTAACAAGATGCCCCCTCCCTCTTTTCTTTTTACAAATAGCTAATGTGACATTATCAAAAGTATTACAAATTAGAAAAGAAAGGGTGTGAAATAAAAATCAGACTTGTCTAGGGCTGTAGTGAACAACAAAATAAAAAGAGCATTACATTGCAGCACCTTGTAACGTGTAACAAAAAAAGTGCCCCCTGTACACTGAATTGTACTATTACCAATATTTTTTTGTGGAAAAAAAACATATATATATATATATATATGTACAAAAACAAAGGCACACACACACACAAAAAGAAACTCAAGCAATTTAGACCTTTGAAAAATGAGCTTTGACCTGTGGCTTTCAAAAAAAAAAAAATCATAAAACACTGCATAATAAAAATCAGTTTTACATCATCCATATTCATTTTTCTCATTAAACAAAAGATGACAGGCTCTAGAAAAAATGTAAATTAAATACCTAATTATTTTATAATAAAGTGAATGCACTCAATGCATGACATGAAGTTGCATGTTAAATCAAGTATCATTACTTCAGATTAAAATACTGTACCAATTCACAGGCACTGAATTATCCTTTAAATGTTCACAATATGATACTGCAGCAAATTCATAATCAGATCCAGCTGATAAAGAGTATTACTACGAGTGACATGAATGTCCACAGAACACAAAAGAATACAGAAATGCTTTGGAGCAACACCTCTCCAAAGTTATTTTCATTTCCATCCCACCTCCTATTTCCTAATATATCCAGTCTTAAGATTAGTACATTGAAAAATGGCATTACCTTTCTGGAAACACAGTATTAAATGAAATAAGATCTAATATGGAGTTTTAATTACAGGCTTCATCTAACAGAAAGCTAAGCTTTGGTTATATAAAGTGCAGTTCAATAACGTGCCAACTCACCACAATACTGTATATACAGCTAATTTTTGCAGCTCAGTTTCCTTGCAATTTTTTAAAAAAATTCACGTTTTACAGTTTGCTTATACAGCAGGCTCAGTTAAAAAAAAAATCCTGTTTAAATTATCTTCAATTCTAAGTCCTCAGTACCATCCACATATATGCACTGTATTTCTAAACTGCCTGGCCATATGTAACTTCTTGCCCTGCAATCTGCACAATTACATTTGTATCTCATGATATTAAACACCTAAGCTCTTGAGAACACAGTCTTCTAATCTCTTCAAATCTCTTACACTTTCTGTTGTATAAAGTTTTCAAGTTTTATTATGATACAAGCAGTACATTCCATCACTCTCATAGCAACTTCTGAAGTAAACCTATCATTTGGAATCTGTGGAAAAGGGAGTAAGTCAGGATATCTAGTTTTTAAGCTATCTACTCCATAAGCTTCCAACGTTTGAACATCATTTGTAAGCCCTTCAAGTTGTTGACTGTATTCCTCTATCTTTTGTGCAAGTGCTGCTGGTTTTACATCTTTATCTGACTTACCCCTCACAGCATAGTCAGCTGCAACCAAGGCTAGTTTAGTAGAAAGGTAGCACTTAAAGCATACCCATTCATTGGCATTCTTATGAAGATCATTTCTTGCAGCTGAGAAGTTAGCTCGGGCCTGCCTAAGCCATCTACGTGCCTCTACAGGATTGCCAACAGACCTGAATGTGGGTGGGACGAAAAAACGTTGCGAATGAGATGGCCCTGTGGAAGGAGGGCACTTCTCTTTATACTGCTGCCTTTCAGATTTATGGCTTGTTGCTTCTTGATTCCATGAAGTATAAAATCTCTTAAATGAAAATTTATCTGACTGAAATCGAGAAGCAGAGGATGAAAATGTTCTTCTTGATGCTCTGTCCGTATTTTGATCTATAAAGGCCTGTTTTTCTAGCCTGTTAATCTCATTCTGCAAATGTTTGAAAACTTCATTAGCTATCTCAAGGTTTTCTGCGTTTTTATCTGGATGCCATTTAAGATACAGCCTTCTAATTATCTTTTTTCTTTCAGATTCTGGAAGCTTCCAAGCTTGTTCAATTACAGATGTCACCTCCCTTAATATTTCTGGCAAGGAGTTCGGCTTTATCTTTTTTGGAGTGTGATGTTTTGAGGACATTGTTTTGTGGCTCTCTTTACCAGTGAAGAGAGGTGGAATCGTCCTCAGTCCATGCACTGGAAATTCTGTAGGACTGGTTGGGGTAGAAGGCGTGCTGTCCCTACTCTGAGAACTTTCTTCAGGCCTTGAAAATTTGTACAA